GTAGTATATACTACCTTACTACCTACACACTACTACACACACACACACACACACACACACACACACACACACACACACACACACACACACACACACACACACACACAAAGCAACCGCAGCGACGACTTACTAGCAACGCGTGACACTCTTCACGAGGGGATATGCCATTGCTGGTGTCAGGTCTGGGCACTCGCCCACGCAGATTCCCAGGTTGATGTTCGCAACAGAAGAGTGATGCCCGGCAGTGGCAAGACAGCTGGCAAAGGTGCTGCGTACGCTTGTCTTGGACGCCAGTGCCTGGAACGTCATGCGGTTATGCACATGGTGCCAACGATTCGCAGTAGAAAATGCGAGTGAGAGTGTGAAACAGCTGTCAATAGAAGGAGTGCAACAACTCATTGTGGCTCATGAGAGGATGTATCAGGTTGTTTGTTGTATCATCATCTTCTCTGCCCCACTACCGAAACACCAAAACTCACGCGTCCGAGGCAGCCGTCGATTTGGTCCACGCAATCGACTTGGCAAGGCGGCATTGCTGCTGTTGTTGTCGTGGTGGTAGTGGTTGTTTTCGTGGTGGTGGTGGTTGTTGTCGTGGTAGTGGTGGTAGATGTGGCGGTGGTCGTTGTTGTCGTAGCGGCGATTGTGATAGATGTGGTTGTTGTCGTAGTTGTTGTCGTAGTTGTTGTCGTAGTTGTTTTCGTCGTCGTTGCCTTCACCTCTGCAACTGCGTAAACGGTGCAGAAATTGAAGCGGAAGTCCTTGTCGCGCGCGCACTCCTTGACTATGTCCACATGTGCGCTATTGAGCGCTGTCGTGCGGAACGTGTACCCGTTGATCACGTCAATGGTGTCTGCGGTGTCGCCATTGAATCGGCACACGCGCTGAATGTTGCAGTCCTCGTACAGGGCCTGTTTCCACCGTTGGCCAAAGAATGTCAGCTCTGACGACGTTCGTCTGTCTAGCTCCAGGTTGCATCCGACCTTGACCTGTGACACAGCACGCGCATGTGTATGGAATTGCCGTAGAGAATGTGCGATTGTCACGTGGGTTCGGGGTGTGTGCATGTGTGTGTGTGCATGCGTGCGTGTGTGCATGCGTGCGTGTGTGTTGCGCGCGTGTGTGTGCGAATGTATGTATGTATGTATGTATGTATGTATGTGTGTGTGTGCGCGTGAATCGTTGTGTAAGTTAACGCGTTACTGGAAGGGGCGGATGTAAAGTGGGCGCAATTGTAAAGTGGTTGTGCGCGGCAGCATGAGCACACACCACGCTCACTCACGCGCCACACACACACACACACACCTCCATGACGGCGTTGAAGATGGTTTGAGTGCAGGGTTTCAGAGCAAAACAACGTGTGCCGTTGGTGTCTGTGCATTGGAAGGGCTTCAAACAATCTGCACACACACACACACACACACACATACACACACACACACACACACACACACACACACACACACACACACACACACACACACGAGCACGTCGGTAGTTGGGT